CCTTCATGCTAACAATTTCAACATCGACTGGGAAATTGCTACGAGGTGAAACATCCCTCAACCGGCTGCTGAAAACTGGTCGTTTGCCCTCCATTAAAATCCCTATTATTTCCCATCATCGACAGGAGAGTAGAGAAGATTTTATCGACTGGTAATAAACAGGACGTGGTGCCCGGCACCGGATTGTTCCGTTTTTCCAATTAAATATTTTTTTCAACGAAACTAGTTGCAACATGAGTGGTCTGTATAGTGGAAGCGAATAAGAGACATTCATGACCGATGGTATTTCGGACGCTCCCACATGTCCTTCATGTTGCAGCCTGCGGCTTGGTATTGTGCACTGGAATAGTAATACCTACCAGGTAGTTCCTCTAGGAATGTGGCTGGTTGTACATCCCCTGCCATCCTCTACCCAGAGAGTGTTGGATTTGACTTTCAGAAAAAATGCTTGCGACTGTTGACGCTCCTCGGTTTCCCCATTATGACTCACTCCCGCGTGATAGCTTTTTTGTGGAAAGTGAAGAAAATTTAGGCAAAAGTTAGTTAAAGTAGTAGGATGCTGAGAAAATTAAAGATGGTGGGTAGCGCGAACGGAGTCCCATCAGTAAAAGAATAACATGGGTCGTATTTGCAACAATGTTCCCCAACGACATGATCTGCCCTGTCAGAAATAGCGGTAGAGCCCCGAGCTTTTTGAAATTCTAGCTTTTCGATCTCCCATTCTTTTACTGAATTGTTGAAGAATATGGTGATGTCATCGGCGCCATTTAAAAACATATCAGGTCAGCTCACCTTATCGGCTAGGTTGTTCACACATGACTTTTCAACGCTTCGCCTTGGGTAAATATGGTCATGGAAATCGGATCTCTGAGGTCAGTTGTAAGATAGTGACGTGGGATGCAGGCGCAAGAGCATCAATAAAGTGGAAGGGAAAAAGGCTATCTGTACACACTCCTTTACCCCCACCCTCTCCTTCTAAAATGAGTGGTAGATACGGCAAACCGTCTTCAAGAGCAATCGTAATGGACTGTTTTACGAAAGAAAAGTTATAAAAAAATATATATAAAATATATCTAGAGCCAGCAAAACGAGGACCTTTTTCAAATGATGGTTCCCAGTTGGGGTATGAGGACGTCTGTATGAGTTGGAATCCTTGTGGTGGCACAGAATTACAGTCATTCTACTTCCTTGTTAAAGCTGCATCCCGGTTCCCTTCTCGCGGTACCACGTTACCATGGCGAAATAGCATCCCATAATCCCATTTAACTCGGAAGCTGAAGGAGGACCTAAGGTAAAAATACGGGGTTATGCTGCATCTATATGGCACGTTCTGCTGTTGGGCAGAATGTTCGCGAAAGACAACCTCTCCTTTCTTTATTTCCAAAACCACCAACCATCTGCCTGAAATTTCGCAAATTCCTACCACTTTTCCGGGTAACCTTTCCCGGATTTTGTCTAGTTCTCCTTCAGAAAAGTGCCGTCGAACCTCGTGGAGGAGGGGGAGGATGGCAAAAAAATTTCCCTCCAAGCCAATACGACCCTCTCCTCCCTCCACCGACCGAACACGACCCCTTTACACAGCAGCAGTGAGTTTTATAGAAGGTTCATACGTCACACTACGACGGGCCTTGAGCCAACAGTGCGCACTATCCTTAAAAGAAGTGGGCGATTCAGGGCAGCAGTTCCACCAATGACGCCATTACAGTTGCTCCGCCTCCTAGCCATCGCGGCCATTGCGTCCAAGTAAATCTTAGACGACTCGGCTTTCCCTGACCACAGTAATTGTGTTGTACTGTTATTCACAGGGAGCTTTCCTATATTGCGGAGAAGTACATCTAGAGCTCCTACTCGCAGGACCAAAGATCAGCGACGCCTCTTCGCTTGTAGAGGTGTCGAGTATCACCTATGTCAGACATGTAATTCGATCTGACGACCTATTTCTCACCAGGGCAAGTCACCTAGTAAATTCTAAAGACCAAATGTCAAATAAAAGCCCAAGATCGAAGGATTCCAAGAGAGCGTCACTCCAGATGCAAGAACTAATCCGTGAAAGCTGACAATTACAGGCTCTCCTACAACTCCATTGGGCGCTGCGTAAATAAGTAGGAATTTTGTCAAGCTTCTCAAAAATCCCTGACTATATTGGCTACTCAGAATTTAAGTGATTTTTGAGCTAGTTTCAAAAACAGCTACTAAAGGCATTGCTGATTCCAAACACTTACCTTTATTAGATCCTTTCCATACATCACCTTGAACGCTTTGGCGATCTCCTGCCTCTGCCAGTTTGTTCGACCACATAGTACGCTGATCACCTAAAACTATCGCAACTAGTAATACCTCTTTAGCTGCAGCAGAAAGTATTATTTTGTTATAAAAATTAGCTTCCCTATATTTTTTCGCACTCAAAAAACAAACCTTCGAATTATTGCAGCCGAGGCCTTTCATAGCTTTTCGAAGAGTTTCAGCATCTTGATTGGCATTGAAATTGGGATTTGGACGAACGGAAGGAGTGCCGAGCATCTCTGAAGCCGTCGAATCTAATTGAAGTGATTTAAAAAGCAAATAACATCTTGAGGCATTTATTAAGTGGCCGAAACGAGATGACATTTCAAATAATTCTGAAAAGAAGTTCGTCATGAAAATTCGATTTGCTTAGGAACACAAGAGGAGAACATTAGGAAGCTTAAGGAAGGCGAAAAGCCAAAAGCTAAGATGGAAAATGAAACTTATTTGACACCGCACGCAGGTGGGGCACATCGTACGTTAGGGATTCCAAGCGAGTGGGGGTTACGCCTGGTCGTTGGAGGGGAGGGAAATCACATTTGCCTCTGGGAAAGGTGTTTCCAGCAGTTGTCTTTTC